TAGAGAAAGAAAAGATCCAATATCTGACACCAGGTATCAATATCTGGCCAGTTTCAGCAGAAAATGCTGGATCAGATATCAGCAGGGGCCACTCCGGCCACCAACCCAGGGAATCTTGTGCCCAAAATTAAAAATTTGTGATCACAATAATAGCAACATGTTGTTTATACATTGTTTTAACAATTAAATACATTTTGCATATATGCATTGTATTTACATTTAATACGCCTGCTTTAGTACCAAAAAGCACTTGAGTGTTGCACTGAAAAAAGAAATTTTGTAAAAACATTAATAAGAACGCTTATGTCGTCCCTGACATCATCCAGTCTAGGTTACCATTAAGTAATGTTAAGCTACCGCAGTGATAGACCGTCAGTGTTTATTTAACACCGTATTTGCCTCTACACTTTAACTCAGAGTGATATTAGCAAACTTCAGCCAAGAAAACAGCATCTGTGACGCCAGGTGGAACGGCAGGGGGACGACCACAGTCACCACACTATCACATTAGCAACTGCGGTGATTATAGTTAAAATGTAGACAAAATCTGATTTATCTGATTATTTCCACATCTGACCAAACTGCATTTTTAGTGGCCAAAATGTAAAATGTTATGACAAAAAGCATTGGGCAGTAGGCAATGTCTATCCTTGGATAGTGGAGAAAAAAAATGATTAAATCTGATCCAATCCAGTGGAATCTAGCTGGAAATATCACACACTTACATTGTATGATGTCATGTTAGCTATTTTCAAAGTTTAGTTCTCAAAAAGAAAAACTGGATTGGTATCACCTGATACTAGGTTTAAAAAAAGAAAAAGTGGTACTGTGGCATGTCTATTTACAATTCAATTTAAAACAAACCCTAGTTAAAAACAGAATCAAAATGTTATAAGGACATCATCTTAAATAAAAACATGTTCCTATAAGATATAAATCTAAATTATTAGGGTGATCCAAGTGAGTCAATGCAATCAGTTTGCTTAAGCCATTTGAGCAGAACGTGATAGGGCACATGTATGAGGTGTTATCCATCTATCTGTCAAGCGTACGTGACCATGAGTCTGGTTGAAATTCTCAGAACAGGGTCTAGTGTCAGGGCTTTGTGCCCGACTCTGACTCACACCGTTGAGAAAGACAGCAAAGCTCACAGTCCCACATGCCCTGCTGCCCCACTCAGATTTCATCCTGGCTTTCCTTCTTCGCGACATTCTAAGCAATAAGTGAAGTCAGTTGTATGCGTATGAGTTTGGAAGATGCGACCTCGGTGTGGTTGTGGCCGTCTGTAGAGAAAACCTATTTAAGTGAACGCAACTGTCGAAACCACCATGAAATCACTGAGCCCTCCTGTCTCCTTTGGCTGAACACCGCAGGACTGACTCACTCTCTTCTACAGCGCTTTAGTCATTGCTTTCTGTTTACTGCCAAAATCCTGAGTTTCACTCTGAATGTCAGTAAATGCCTAATAGGAACTGGTTGAAAGACATGAAAAAGGGTTAAGTTATACAAAGACATCTATAATGAATGACAATGTTGACCAGTATACACTATAAGTGATGTGTACTACTGTATTTGCCACTGTGCAAAAGCATTAGCTATTGTCTGGTTAAGATTATGATTGTCTTTGTTGTTCCCGTAGCGTAGTATCCACTGCCAACATAGTGTGTGCTGAGCTACTACGCAAGATTCAGCTCCGTATCTGCCTGTCTGCAGCTCGGGGAGGGGCAAATGAGGACACACTGCAGCAGACTCCTGTTACCATGTGCACAGTGTTGTTAAACGCTCCATCCCCCTCCCGCCCTTTCTCTCTCTTTCTCTCTGGCTCCATCCATCCAGCACAGTCTCCCTTTTCCCCTTGCCATATTTTGCAATTGCGCAGGTTAAGTAACGTAGAGCAGGAGAGGAGATTTCAAAGCAGGTCTTTGTGCCGAAGCGATGAAGCAGGTAGAGATTGTTTATGTGCCACTGGCATTATTCTGGGCATTTTTCTGGGCATAGCTGTTTAGACTCACCCTCACGCTCACTCTCCGCACTGTGCTGCATGCCCTGTTGCCAAGGAAACGGTGGGGGAAATATTTTGGCCAACTAGCAAAAAAGGGGCTGATAAGGCACTGGAGAAAAAAAAGACAGTGAGCAAAATAAGAGGGGGAGGGGCGATTAAGGACATTTGAGGGGGGAGCAAGACAGCGAGAGCAAGTAAATACCCTTATAACCTGAGTGAGTACAGAGAAAACAAGATTGGAAGGATGAGCAAATCTGACGCAATGACATTAGAAAAAAAAGGAAAAACCTCTTTCTCGCTCCTCCATTCCTATCCTGCACTTTTCCTCTTACTTATTCTCTAAGCGAACAGAGATTTTATCTGGTTATCTGTTAATCAGCTGGATTCCACACACTGCACTTTTACCCACTTTTCATTGTTTCTGAATGCTTGTGTTTTGACTTGCACATTGCAGTTTGACAGAAAAAGAGCGACTATCTCTCAGAAACACTTCTGTTCCAAACAATCACTTCCGCAAAAATGCAACATTGATGATTTCTTCTTTGATTAACTGATCATTTGACCACGAGTTCACAGGCATAGTAGTGGTTTGAAGGTTTTGACAGAGAATTGTCTTACAAACGCATTTTTCTGTGAGACAGAAAAATAAAACCTAAAGCTAAAAACATGCCAAACTTGGAGAAAAAAGTAGTTATGTTATCCTACACTAGATCCTTCAGTGAGACTGATCACCAATTTATATAAGGACAAGAAAAGACAGCACAGTTGACAATGATGAGTTCATAAGGCTAGAGCCACTATACAACACTCTCACGTGGACTGTAGCAAAACAGCTGCCCACCACTTATGGTCTCACATTGGTGCCAAAGTTACCACTCTGCGTCCTTACATTCAAAGAGGGGTTATCTAGCTCAGATTTCTTTCTGCACAGGAAATATGGGGAGTTTCCAGCAGAACTTTAGTTACTAGTTTGAAATTGTGGACTATTTGTAAAAGTCTTTCCACTCACAGCTTTCCTGGTGCTTGCTAGTAAAAGAGGAAAAAAAAACTTTTTTGGGGTTATATTATTTTTATTAGTTTATTTTATTATATAAAATGCCCTTAATCTGTAAATAGGCTACATAAGTTATGATTACACATGCTGCATACTAACAAAATGCTAAATAAATAAAAACACTGTAATTGTATGTATTTAGTATAACTATATACATACAAATTACTTCAAATACACTACCTTTATATTCTGTTCATACACCACTATTTCAACAGCTGAACTGTACACTAAAAAAAAAAAATGCAGAAACCAAAAAATGTGAAGTCAGCGGCAGAGACAGCACCTTATCCTAAGCAACCAAACCTGAAAAATGTCAAGATTAGATTTATTCACTTTCAAACTACTCAGGCTGTCTTATTTGCATTTTTTTAGTGATCAAATTTAACAGAGCAAAACAGGTCTTCACCCAGGACACAGCGTTCTGAGAACAGGTATCAATTATAACAAAACGTTTTGAGATATTTAGGCAATTCTTTGGCATATGAACAGATATGCCTACCAAGTGTGTGGAAAATACAGTGACGCAAAAAGATCATTAGATGCTGCTATGTCTTGACTAGCTCAAATAACCAGACCTGCGTCATGGGAGAAGTTCCCCTCTTAGCTATCTATGTGGGCTGGTGGGCATGGCAGAATATTTGTGCATCATTCTGAGTGCACCAGGGGCAACAATGGCACCCTACATGACACAAATTTCTATTAACTGTATTTGCTACTGGGCATGTAGGAAAATTACTATGCATAAAAAGTTTTTAACATTAGAAAAATAAACGTCAAACTCTAGAGCCTCACCTGTATGAGTTTCAAATGTTTAATAATTTATTTGCTTAGCATTTAGTTAATGGCTACTATACGTACGAAACAGTAAGATAAAGGACATAGTATGAGTGTTTTCTTTCTTCCTGTAGGTCAAGCTTTGATAAGTCTTCACTCAAGCACACACAGAATAAGCAGCTCTGACACACATGCACACAGAAAGAGGAAGATTACACTATACAAGATTTACCAACATACACACACCCTTGTAGAGTGCACCAGCAGTAAGAATGTATTGTTTTGGTATGGGTTGCAGGCAGCTGCTGACAGAGTAGTCTTGAAAGCTGGAGAAGCGGTAATCCTGAAAGCTGATGGAACAGTAGCTCTGCCCAGGAGAAGGCACAGAGCAGGTAAACATTTGTTTGAGGGCCAAAAGCCATTTTTTGGGACATGTGAAATTGCATTTTGCTGCCTACAGGCAGTGACAAAAGTGGGGAGCGCACTTAAACATCAGATGACTTGATCGCACCTTGCCAGGGCTGCCCACAACTTCCGTCAGAATTTACACACTCAATATTGCAACCTTGATGTTTACTAGTGTTCCTGACGGTTTCTATTAGTCAGTAATACATACCTACAGACTGGCTTGCACGTGCAAAGTCAGTGGTTTACTTAATGCACCACAGTGTAATAATACTCTAAAAAACAGTAGAGGATGTCCTGAACACTCCTTGTAACTTCTTGTACATCTTACAATTATCAATGTAAAAAGTTTTGAAAGGCTCAGATCTGTAGCACCAAGGAGCGGCAAGCAGGCCAGTTACATGTTGAGAAATCAGCATGTTTCATATCAGGAGGCCTGTACACATAAACTGACAAACACAAACAAATATACATGTGTACATAAACAGTACTAATGTCACCATGCTCACACATACATCACTGTTGTCATAACAAAACCTTGTATTTCTGAAATGGTAACTTGACAGTACATAAACACAGCACAAGATTTTATTCCAAGCAATTTTAGACTATTTCCATTCATCCACAATAATGAAATGTTCACACATTTTTATTAGGCATCTGGTGTAAAAAAAACATTTTTAAAAAACAAAAATAATAGAGATACAAGGTTTTGATATGACAACCACAATACGCACAGGCCTATATCTTATACATACATCTTACCTTAGTGCGGCCATTAATAACATAATTCCCAAGCTGTCCATTTGCTGAACTGTGCATAATAGCCTCGTCGATGTGAGCCATGAGGGTGCCAATACTTTCACAGCCTGGTTCTTTGCCCTCCACCCAGGCTATCTGGTCTCCACGGATATTCTTAGAGGGGATGCTCCTCTGGCTCACCAGCTGTCCTCCACGAAACTTCCCACTGCGATTTAGGGTCTCCACCTCCTTTAGGACCCGGTCCCCTAGTCGTGGGCCCAAGAAGCCATCTTTAACAAAGATGCCATAGTACTTCATACAAGGCACAATGTACAGCTGGGCGATGCGCTCTGCAGACCAACCAGGTGCAGCTCCCACCAGCGGAGGCATGGAGGATGCATCTGAAGTGGACGCGTTGCCTGTCACTCTGTGCCTGTTGTTGTGGTGGACTCTGTTGGGTGACGACACAGTGCTGCAGTGACTGTTGTGCTGACTGTTTGCTGCAAAGGGCACTACGGCCTGCGTGCTTTTTCCACTCTCCGCTTTAGCCTCAGCTTCCAGCTTCCTTCTTTTGCACTCAGGAGGTGGACAAGTGTCTGGTCCATTGGTCACTTCTGAAGTACTGGATGACCCTACACCCACGTTGGCTTCATCTAGAGCCCAAGACCCAGTGGCCCTGTTCTCGTCATCTTTCCGTCTCTGATTCTGCGGCTGCCTGCATTTCAAGTCCCCATTTACTCGCTTCGTCAGAAGCGGGCATTTGTCATGTGGCGGAGTGATTCTGTCCGAATTCTCCACCGGCCTCAGCATGAGGCCATTCTGAGTTTCGCCCAGTCCTTTTAGCTGTTTATAGCCATTGGGCATCTGGGCTGGGACCCCATTGTGGTTCCCCTCTGTAGTGGCGGAAGGGGACACTACCTCTCCGTTGCACAACGGCAAGCCGGTTTTGGCCTCTTTCTTCAGCACTGTGATTCCGGGCCCCACCGTTTTAGAGGCCAGATCCGCAAGCAGCTCAGCGGCCGTGCTGCTGCCAGCCGCGGCCCCGCAGTACGCATTCACCCCCATGTTCACCGCCGCATGGCCCTCTGCCGAGCCGTGGGCCACTATCTCGGGCTTGGAGCAAACGCTAGCGTTCCCGCAAGAAGAGCTTTCGTCTAAAAGGTCCGCGCTGCCCAAGCTCTCCATTTCATCTCGTCTACTCCCAGATGCGCACGTAGCTCACGTCCAATCCTCATTTTCTACTAAATCTCTCGTACACATGGCTGCGTGCTGCACAACTGGCGGCGCTGTTAGCACCGAGCGACGTGACGATGTCCTAAAACTTTCAAGCTAAAGACCCAAAAGACACCAAAAGCTTTTTTTTATGAGATATAGTTTAATCCTCGATCACGGCTCCATTTTTCTCCTGAACGCAGACTTATGATTTCCTAAAGAAACAAATACAAGGACATTTAGACACACACAACTAGTCCGGGCACAGTAGAATTCTGAGAATATCAGAACGCACATAACGTCCAAAATTACGTCATAGTACAACATCAAACAAAGAATGAATGGAAAACTGCCGTCCTTCATCTTTATGACTTAGTGCAGGTGTAACGACACTGACTCGGACTTTCGACAGTCTAACTTAGTTACAGCTACACGCTCCAGCAGCCCCGGCCACGCTAATCATTAACTAATTATTAGCAGTAGCTAGTAGCACGTAGGCTGCTTGTGTGGGTCGACGGTGACAGCAAAACCTCAAAGCAGTGCCTTTTAATGCTCCTAATGATGGGCTTCTGTGAGGACAGTAAGCCAGAATATAGCCCACAATTATTCGCTGTAGGGAAAGCAGCGGCGAAAACAGGAGCAGGCTGGCGCGGCTCTCCTCTGTCCATGCTAGGGCATATCGACAAAGTTAAAGGCTCTGAAAAAAAGCCAGTTAGGAAATGCTACTTTACAAAATAAACGTTTATTATACGAAAAAAAGAACCAAACCAGGAAAAGATAATGAAATGAAAGAATATGAAGCTAGGCTAATAACGTTCGTATTGGAAACGTAAGACGACGGTTATGAGTTTAAATAAAATGTTTTAAGACTATATACATTACTACATATATAAAAGATGAACATTTAGCGACTGTTCATAGTGTTGCCCACAACAATCTACACTAAAAACTAACATACAGTTTAATATTTGGCTTAGCTTACCTCTACAGACGAAAGGCAGGAGAAAGGAGCGGCGGCAAGGACTTAACGCCAACGTTAGCGCGGTATCCGTGTTTTTTTCGCCCATTGCCAGTCCGTTTTTACTTCAGTTGAAAAGAAATGTCAAGCCCGTGGCTGGGTGTAACAGCCTACGGCATATTTTGGCAGTGAAGTGTGCGCACTACGTGCCGGTTTCAGGTCGGTGAATCGCGGTAGTCTCTACACTCCTCTTCTCCTCTCACCTCTCTGCTGTGTGTGCATTTGAGTCTGTGTTTGCCGAGTTAACCACCCGTATTCCGGGAAATACCGCCTTCCTTCGCTGGGATTGGCTACGAGCTCCTATTCAAAGTAAATCGTCGAACGGAATGCGGGCCAGGCCTGGCATATTTGCATACCGCGCTAGGACTGGCTGGAGACATCTCACGACGTGCGTTATGATTGGCCAGTAGTTCATACACACAAGGGCTTCGGCGCCAGGAGGCGGGGATTGTCGGAAAACGGGTAGAGAAAAAAAAACAACGCCTTGCTCTCAAGTTTTACTCTCTTTTTTCTCTCACTCTCTGTTTCCTTTTTCTCTCGTTTTCACTTTTCTCCTTTCCTCTGTTTTCTCTTTTCCTGTATCATTCCCTACGTTTGTGTCTATCCCTGCCTCTACCTCTCCCCTTCTCCCCCTCTTTCTTTCTCCATGAGCACTTCTGTCACTTACACGTGCGCATATGGGTCACGTGACGCAGAGGCGCGAACAGAAACAACAAAAGGAGCCCGGCGCACAGAAACTAACGGGGTCGCTAATATTAGTTCATGTTTATGAGATGGTAATAATTTATGACACGTTATTCTGAGATATTAAAATGGCTAAATTATGAGCAGGAGTGAACAGTAATAGCAAAATCGCAAACTGGACAGCACAGTGTACAGTGAATTTTATCTTTATCTAGGCCTAAGTAAACTTACGTAAATAAACGATGTTTTGCTGTGTCCAGTTTCAAGGTGCTTCACTTTGTGGATCATTTACCCAGCCCCACACCCCAGCCACCCAACCACAACCTCTAACCTCAACACACTCTAAAGGTATTTACACACACACAAAGAGAGAGAGAGAGAGAGACAAAGAGAGAGAAGAGAGCATGTGGCTTCCTCTTTGTGTCTTTTTTCTCTATTACGAAAAAGAAAATCCACAAAATAGAGAAAGCACTGTGTGAACTAAGACACTGAACTGATTTGATATGAATGACATGATATGGAAAAACTTTAAAGGGCCTATATTATGGACAACAAAATTTCTTTGCCCTTTTGGAATAAAAGAGTTAGATGTAAATGCTGTTAAAGTTTCAAAACATACTGTTCACTCTCCAGTTCATACATAGAAAATAAGCCACAAAAACAGCCTTCTTTGAATTCATCATTTTTTTGATGTCACAAAAAGCAACACATGTACTGATCCCCACCTATTCAGCCTACATTTCAGTTCCCTTTGAAGTTATAAGAAGTGCTCCAGCCAGAACTGCTCTTTGAATAAGTTCATTTACATATCTCAGGCCTAAAGCCACAGTAATAAAAGAGCCTGTTTAATTCTGAGGGATAAAAAGAGGTTTGACAACGTAAAAATGTATTATTTTTAGTACATAAAAATAAAATAATCATGTACAACATGGCTCTTCTGTAGATTTTTAATATGTTTTTTATTTTAGTCTGTAATTTGTTAAACAAACCTTACTGTGCTTGATAAATAATGTCAATTAAAATATTTATTAATTAATTACTCTTCTTAACTAACAATTATTACTAACAGACACACAAGCACATAGTAAGAACATAAACACAGCCTGCTGCCATGACACCAAACTACAGTGCCATGTTCAGTGTAAACACTTAAGAGCTGTACACATTTATCTTAATTAATACAACAATGAATATCACAGTTATCACAACAACAAGATTTCACAAAGGCATTATCATTACAATCATGTAAAAGAGGAGGAATAGTGAGAGCGTTGCCTGACAACACAAGTGAGTCAGCAGAAATCTGAAAAAACAACCCTCACTATTTCCTGCTTGAAAGAGAGAGAGAGAGAGAGAGAGAGAGAGAGAGAGAGAGAGAGAGAGAGAGAGAGAGAGAGCTGTAGTGGGTCAGTTCAAAGGTCCAAATTCATAAGATAAGAGTCACAGAAAAAGAGAAGTACTTTAAAAATAAAAGTTCCTAAATAGTTCTTGGCTTAGACATACAGTCCTATACAAAAGTTTCAAAAAATAAGTTAACACATCAGAGACAAATATGGCATTTTCCTGCAAATTTTAGAGCACAGTTTCTATTTATTTGTTTACTGTACTGGAAAAAAGTTACACACTTTCACAAAGTCCACATTATGTTTTATGAGTTCTTTCACAGTATGTTAAATTCAGTAAATAAACAGTAATTGTGCATTAAAATGTACAGAGGTGTGTTCTCTGTAGAGGATGTGTTCACTTATTTTCACTCAGAAGATCAACAAAACGTTTTATTTGACCAGGGGTGCCCAAAGTCTTGCATATGAGTGTACGGTTGTAGGAAAAAAGAACTTTAAATGTTATAGAATCATTATATTATGTAGATGTTCTTTAAACTTTAAAAAGCTTCTTCACACATATTGTATTTACAATGATGGTTCTCTGAACTTCCAACTGAAAGGTTCCTTAGGGAAGAAAAGGAGGCTCTTCTATAACGTAGATCCAAAGAGCCCTCTCTGGAACTGTTATTTTTAAGAGTGCTACACTATTTTAAAAGCCATTAGAAAAGTCTTGCATTGATACTGAAAAATTAAGTTTACAGAGTGTTTCTAGTCCAACACAAAAGAAATACAGCTAGAAACATGAGCTACATCTCAGCAAACTATAACCTATTTTGGTGGATGAACATGGAGGCCTTTTGCAATAAAGAGCACTTCCCAATGGAAATGTAATGGAAAATTAAATTGCTGATTTATCCCATCAACCGAAAATAAGATGCTGATTTCATTACATTTCATAGTAGAAACATGCAATTATATACACTATATGCCCAAAAGTATCCAGACACTGACACAAGTGCTCTGTTGCGCACACACAGTTTATATAACCATAAAAAAGAATGGGACAACGGAATGGGATGCCACTCCGAGGGGAGGTAGAATTGCTTTAACCAACATGAGTATCTGATCTCACTAATGCTGTCCTGGCCAAATGCAATCAAATTCTCACAGCAATTTCAAAATCTTTCCCAGAAGAGTAGAGGCTGTTACTGCAGTGGGAACAACACCTTATTAATACCCTTCATTTCAGAAGAAATTATGGAAGAGCAGATACAAATGTTTGGATGTGGTGTATCAATAAAAGTAGTATACTTTTGCATATTAAAATAGTAGATAATTAAATAATTAGTAAAAAAAAAAAACAACAAAAAAAAACTTTCTACCAATACAGTGAAAAAGTGATGCATTGAATTAACTTGTCCATGTGTGGTGTTGATGTTTTTGTTACTCAGTGATCTGATGGACCCACCACATTATTGTTTTTTTAAATCAACACAGTCATAACAATTTATGTAAAAATACCAGATGTTTGAAATATCACAAGTGGCCAGCGTAGGGTTCTCCTTTAGCTGCTGTAGCCAGTCAGCAGCCTGTCCATGTTGTGCACCCTCACACACACACACACACACACACATATACAAACACATACACATACAGACACACACACTAACAGCAGGCCATGCAGGAGGAGAACAGAGTGAAGGACACAGCACCTCCACACTTTTATTCTCCACAGGTTCACCCCAACACTGCATGTGTAATATAAATGTGTAGGGGTGAACAGTGTGAAGTAATTGAAAATGTGTTATTTTATATGTTCCTCACAGAAAATGAGCAAAGGCCAAGGAATCTGAGGTTGAAATAATAATAAATCGCAACATTTTTTCTTTTGGTAAACATTAAAAATGGGTCCCACAGAGCCGAACACCACACAAGGGTTAAAATAACACAATAACTATAAATAATACAAAACAAATGTATATTTAATTCATGCAGAATTTATGAACATTTGAATCAAGTTCATTCTTTCAGGATTCCCTTTTAACACAACCAGAGCCTGACAAACATCACTGAAAGTCACAGACACATAAAAACAGTTTATTCATTACTCTAAGAACAAGATGCTGAGACTGGTGCTACAAACTTTAAACACATGGAGCACAATCTAATGCAGGGTAAAATGTAACACAGATATTTTATGTAGTTAAATAGGTCAAAGTAGGACATACTTTTAGTCACCTTTTTATATTAACACAGCAATCAAACAGATATTTCTCAGATTCACGCTGATGATGTTTTTGTACTACGAAACTTCTCATTGTGTCTCCAGATCACACAGAGTGTGTTTAAGTCAGAGGATCCACACCTGTATCATTATAATCCTTCTTTGTGGCTGTAATATAGCACTGTTTTGAGAAATATTAACAACTCACAGTGAGAGTTAGTCAGGCTAAAGCACAGCCTCCACACCACAGGGTTAGTTTTAACACAGTATTACAACTAAGCCTCCCAATAGACATTTTATTCACAGATTTATTAAAAACGTATTATAGGTATCATATAAATAAAATCCATTTTTAATCTGCTGTTTTCTCTTCTACATTGAGATAAAAAATGAATTTGCTCTGTTTGACACAGTTTCTTTCACTAATTATTCTCATATTGATGCAGATATAATGAAAAAGCTCATTAGGTTCAAACAACACAGAATCATAATGAATTCATTGTGTTTGCTTCAACAGTCTTTCTAGTAACTACTAGATCTAGACCCTCAGTCTGTTACACTTAATCCCACCTGGGGGGGTAAGCTGTAATGTTTCCACTCGTGCCGCTTTCAGCTGAATTGTTCACAAGTTTATGTTTTTGTTTGCAGCATATGCTTTTGGATTCCTTGTATGAAAATATTAATATAAAAAAATTATTTTATTTATTTATCTTGTTGCTTTTGTGACAAAACCTTGTGTCACCAAAAAAGTGACTTTACAGGAGAAGGGAAAAACATTCTTTACTTTGAATGGAAGCTGATGGAAAAAATGTATATAGTGGTCCATTCATTATGAAATTTTAAAAGGGCAGCTGTCAAACATATTTAACATGTTGGAAAAAATAAAGCATTAATTATAAAATGTGCCATAACTTTTGCATAAGCCCCTTTTTTCCAAAAAGTTGAATTCAGTGAGGAGTTGGGCATCAAAATGTGCAGAAGTGTGTTC